GTGGCCGTAGCAGTCCACTTTCAGACGTAGATCCCCAGATTCCCAGACATCTACGTGGACCCAATAGACGTTGACGCGGTAGCTGGTGCTGACGTAGTCAAAGGTAGTGCCTGGCAGATATTACGTAGCCGAACCGTTTGACGAGCCAAACCCGAAACGCCGCTACTAACATATTCATACTCGTTGTTTCCGGAGCAAACTCCGACTTGAAGGTTACTCTCACCACAACACATTCCGTAGCTGTAGCTGTAGCTGTAGCTGCTACTCACTCAATTATTCAGGCATAATAAGCAAATTGTTTTAATATGCATAAATATCTTGTACGCCATTTGGCAAACAAGTCAGAAAAGTGCCAGACAAACTGGCAGACAGACAGAGAGACAGACAGCCCAGCCCCACACAGGTGCGGGGGGTTATGGTAACAACAGGCGACTGCATAATGCCCATGGGATATACAGAAGGTGTGCTGCTCCCTCTCGTTCGTACATGCACATATATTTAACCTTCAAGATCCGCAGACTAAATATCCCGGCAAACATTTCAGCCACAGCCAGCTGGCAGTCGCCACTCCGCCCGCTCCAAAACACAGCTCTCAGCCAAGGCGACCTTTAGGAATACCCTACGCCAATCTATCGCCAATCGTTTTCCCTGCTGCTAGAATCCATTTACCCAAAAATATCTATCTGGGACACATATTTGAAAAGCATTCATCAGAACGATGGCCAAGTTTTTCTACTATTTTCAGGCATTTTCGGCACATCCAATTTTACTTTATTCGCCTTCAAGTGTAATTTTTAATTATGTTTTCCTTCTTCAATTTGTGGCCCTAAATGTCTGACTGTACTCGAATATCCCCTAATAATCCTTGAGTCTGGTAGCGTGACTGAAATCTACCTTATTTTCCATGGAATTTCCACAAAATTACGTTGCATGGGGAAACTTCTGCCGATGTCTCTCTCTCTCTCTCTCTGCTCTGTCTGGGTGTGCGTTGCGGCGTCGGCATTTGGGGCAGGCCCAGACATATCGGGAGCGGGGAGAGGGACTAAGAGTGGGCGCTATTGTGTGGGTGGTTGGGGAGTGGATGTGGATATGGATGGAGTGCTTTTCCTCTGTGTGCGTGGGTGGCACAATAAAATAAAAGCTTAGGCCACAAAAGCGGCAGACAACTAACTACGCATAAAGCGAGGGATGACGACGCAGGATATGCGCTTAGGCAGAGAGAGAGGGAGATGGGCGGGCACACAATGCGGAAAGCACTGGGATGACTGCGAAAATGGAGCAAAAGGTGCCGCCGAACGAGAGGAGACACACACACACGTACAAAGGCTCTCAAGGACACGCAGGGATGTAGATGCGTATGCGGTCTACGCATATCTAAAGAGCGCTCTCCCACGCTCCACCTTTCTCACTGTCTCTCCACGTGGTTGCCGTATACGTAACATAAAGCATACGCAACGTGTGCCCTTCGTTTTCCGCTGTCCCACGATGATGAGGCTGATGATGATGATGAAGTGTGAGCTCTGGGGCTCAGAACTCGCTGAAAGTTATGCTGCCCCAAAGCGCAACAAAAAGAAAAGCAAGAAAAATGCGTGTTCTCGCCTCCTAAGTAAATACCACGTGCTGCGCTCTACGCACTGAAAAAGGGATCCTAGATGTGCGTATAATGTGTATCCTTCCTCCGTCCCACATCCTCATGAGTGCGTGTCCTCGTCTGCCCGTCTGCCCGTCTGTCTGCGTATTCTAAGCTCCTGCTATTTATTTTGATATTTCCCCAAATACCCAAGAATGAACACCAGCGTATGACAAAATAAGAAATGTGTTTGATGACAGCTTTCGACGTTTATGCGCATTTATGCTAAGCTGTTTGATTTCAATTTACAAAGCGCTTTCCTCTTCGCTCCTCTTCTTTTCTTTTCTTTTCTGCCTTCCTGCCGGGGAAGTTTCTCTGCCACTTTAAAAGTTTTCAACATTATTTATTGTGCAGTAATTCAGATTCGTTTGATGACAAAATTAAGATTATTTTAGTACACTTTTCCGAATGTTGTTGAAAACTGTTTTCGATCTGTAGATAATTTTCTAAAATTCTATTCCATCCGCTAGGATCTAGTTTAGTTGAGGAACATACCATGCATATGCGTAATGTTCATCCAGAAATGCGATTGCTGCAGGCATTAGTGGCTGTGGCAGGCAGAGGCCATGGCCATGCAGGGAAAACAAGGGCAAACAATAAAATGAACAAACAAACAAACACGCAACAACGAGGCAGACAGGGCACACAACACACCACACGGCACACACTCGCACGACAGACAGGAGGACTGAGAGACAGGGAGACAGAGTACATATAGCTGTGGTAGCCTCTCTAGAGGAACGAACGGGACAGGCTGGGAGACCTGCATTACATAAATAAATGTGTGCGTAGTAAAAGGCAAATAAAAAATGAGGAGAGGAGAGAGGAGAGCAGTAGAAAAAAAGAGCAAACCAATTGAAGTGTGTCGCGCCAACAATTGCAATTTGTATTAATTTTATTGGTTTATTATTATCATCCAGCCAGCGACCGACAGAGGCGACCGATTGATGCCGTCAGACAGTGTTTATATGTCGCTCTTTCGGTCGGTTGGTTGCTCGATCGAAAGCGAGTTAATTTCATTTACTGATTTGTTGGACAGACGACAGCAAAAGAGGGGGAGGAGGGAGCGAGGTAGAGGAGTACTTTTGAGTGCGATTGCGATGGCGATTGCGATTGCGGTTATGGTTCCGAGGGGAACGCGCCTTTTGATAATCGGAAATCGGAACCTCCGCCATCCGTCCGTCTGTCGTGGGGTCGTTATCGGGGGTACATTCGCATGTGGGGTATTTGGAATGGGTGTCTGGATGTGGCCGATGAACTGCAACCCGCGATAGCCACATTTCAGATTTAATTGGAGCACGTGTTGATTCGAGGCAGCAGAGGGAATGGAGTGATGAGGGGGGTTGGGGGAGGAATTATGAATGAATTTTCTGCTGGACTTGCACTTTGGTGGAGCACTTTTGTTGGGGAAATCGATTGAGAATCGATTGCACTGCTTGAAGCGACCCCAGGGTATCCCCTTAGCCATAGAACTGCTTTCATTTCAATCAAGCAGTAATCAAAGCAGTTTATTTGTGATACTTGCAAGCAGCTCAATTATTAAATGTCGCGAATATCTGCGGCATTGCAGACATTGCAGTCTGCAGTCTGCCAACCCCCTACCCGCCACTCCCAAGGGGGGGAATTACGATTCCCGCTGTATTATCGTTAGTCCATTCCTTTCGATCGTTGCCCCCATCGGGGCTGTGTGGCTCTGTGGCTCTGTGGCTCTGCCGAAGCGGCTGCAGCGTTCATTGAACGCACTTTCGGGCACTCGACGCACGCGTCGCCTCGTTAACAAACAAAAAAACAACAAGAAATACACAAAGAGAGGAGGGAAAAAAGAGCGCTGTCTCCAGATACTTTTTGGATGTGCATACGCGTGCATAATACAATAATAATTTCGTTTCACAGAAAGCAAAACAACAAAAAGTAAGCGCAGCCAATGGCCGAGACGAGCAACGGCAGCGGTTGGTCGAACGGCAAAACGGGAACTTGCCCAGACAGCGATCCCAATCCCGATCAATGCACCTTGGCCAAAGGTGCAACGCCTTGTGCCTCGACAAAGTCTCTCTCTCTCTCTCTCTCTCTCTCTCGCTGTCTGTCGCTATATCTCCATCTCTCTCTCTGTTGTCTGGGCATTCAGTGACGCACGAAACGCGATCACGTTCGCATTTATTAAAAGATGGTTGCTGTTGCACTGGAAAGTGGACTCGGCACTCGGAGCACTCGGGATGGGACTGGTATTGGTATTGGCCAGGAGAGACAGATGTGGGTAACATTTGCTGGGCAAACCCAAACAAAAAAAGACACTCAAATAAGAGCAGCAAAGGAAGAAATTCTTCAATACCCTTGTGGAAAATGCTGAAATCTATTCCTAAAGTTTCCTATTCTATCCCCAAAGCTCGTTGCCAATCTCTTCAGATATTTGTTGTTCCTTCCAAGTGCCAATCTCATAATACCCCAAAGGAAAGGGGTAAAACATAAAAAACTTGACCAACATGTGGTTCTGTTGGCTATTTTTAGACTCTTTCGACTCTTTGGCTGTCTGTGTGTGCAACTGCAGCAGGATGGGGCACTGTCAGGCACTGTCTGGTGGGGAGCGACTCTTCTGCTTCTTGGTTCATTAACTGCGACCAAGTTTTAATCAGATTTGTGCGTGAAGTTCGCCACTGACCCGAGGAGGACTCCAGCGACAAGAAATGGGTGGGATTTGGGGGCAGGCAGCCAGGAGGCACGCAGCCAGAGCTTTCCAGCCACACTTTTTAATGGGAAAACTCAAACAGAACTCCACTGTAAAGAAAAGGAAGAGAACTGTGTGTGTGTGTGTGTGTGTGTGTGTGTGTTGTGTGTTTCCGAACCCGTTTCCACCAGACAGGCCAGACATCGCCGCTCCATCGTTCCATCTGCGGAAGCGTGGCCCCTATAAACCATATTCTTTTCATTTCTTTTGCTGTTTTTTACGTCTCGCAGATTTCTTCTTGCAGCAGCAGCAGCAGCAGCAGCAGCAGACAAATTTATGAGCGTTAAGTGAAGGCCAATAAAATTGTGGAGGTTTTTTTGCGTCTGGACTCGTTTTCTGGCCACAACTTGAAGCCGCTGGCCACTGGCCGCTCTTCCGCTGGAACAACATTAATTTTACGATGGCTTTCCAGTTGTTTCTGCTGCTGCAGTTCTGGACACACGAAACACTAATGGATTTTGGTTTCAATATTCCACAATTAAATGTTTACACCCACCCAGCGCACCTCATTATGGATCGCTTAACGAACGCAATGGAATGGATAATGGCGTTCCGTGGCACAAAGGCCTAGGGTTTCGATGGCATTAGCTTCAGTGTTCGACTGGCGTCACGATGTGGAAGTTATCTGCGATTCCAGTCTGCTTTGTAATGGTAAAAAGGGTCAAGGCTCACACAGTAGAATCCATCTAACAGCCTGTACCCATCCACAGTGCGCGGTGGCCCGATGCCAGATGATTGATGGCAAGTTCGGGCTGTTCGAAAGGTGTCTGATCACCACAAATACGTTGACATCTACACGAAGATCTACAAGTTTCCGGTGGATAATGTCACGGTGCGTAGTTGTTGCTGTTCCCGGATATATCTTCTGGATATTCATGTGCCTGCTGGCAGTTCCTTTTTGCAGTTGAAACTCCTGCCCATGCGCCACGATCATGGCTATAGGCCGTTCTTCATGAACCTGACCTTCGATATTTGTGCGTTCTTTAGGAATCTGCAGAATGAGAATGGAGCTAGGCAGCTGATCCTGCGAGAGCTCTTCCAGACGGTCAAGCCGTACACGAACATCAATCACACGTGTCCCTACCATGTGAGTGGCAGGCAGCAGACCCACGAGATATCTCTGTACTCTATCGACTCTGTATTGTCTAGCATGATGTGGAAGTTTCCAAGTTGTGGACTGGCAATCTGGAGGCACGATTTCTGCGCCATCTGCCACTGCCCCACGGGGACTACAGTCTCTGCCTCAGCTGGTACACCTCCAGCGTTCATCGAGCCACTGTCAAGGTGTACTTTAGGCTAACCGACAGCTAAATACAAAATCTGCACGTTTATGCACGTGTTATCAATTCAATCACAGGCATTAGTGGAGCATTGAATTGGGTAACGAGTGCGATACGATCTCTCTGCTTTGGCGAGTTGTTGTTAATGGCTGGGATCATTAAATACGAATCGTTGGATACGCTCCAGCCACAACGAGTCAGAGGTTCCACTGCAGCAGATCGCCATGGAGACTCTCCTCTACAAATGGATTCTATTGGGTTCTCTCATGGTAAACCTTTGAAGAAAGTGCAGTGGAAAACCGCTTTGGATATATTTGGATATTGTTGTAGATTTGCCACGCTCACGTGACCTTTACGAACCTCAAGTGCGTGATGGTAGATAAAAGCTTTGGAGACATCAAGTGCCACATCAAGGCGGTGAATCGCACCCACAAGTACATCGATCTCACTGCAAGACTCTTCAAAGGTCCAGCGGACAATATCTCAGTAAGTGGAGGAGGAAGGTCTGGAAGTGTTAGATCTACAGCTGGCGAGATCCTTTGCAGGTGAACCTAAAGCTAATGCGCTACAATCACGGCTACAAGCCGTTCTTCATTGAGCTCAGCTACGATGCCTGCAAGTTCTTGAAGAACCCCAAGAATCCCTTCGTGACCTCCTTCTACAATACATTTAGGAAAAACTCCAACCTCAACCACACATGTCCCTTTGATGTGAGTATTCTTTGACCACTACTCTACGGAGAGATCCTAAAGCTAAAGACCATTCTCAAGCACGATCTGATTGTCGACAAATTGTATACCGGAAACCTGGAGAACAATTTCAGCAATTTCCCCTCGTTGATGAATGGCGATTATGCCTTCTTTACGGAATGGTTTATGAACAAAATACAACGCTCTTACGTCAATATATACTTCCGATTAACAGGCTCAAAGGAAAATTGATCAATCAGCGCAGTCCATATATAACCCCAATCATATAATAGTCCCCTTTTCTGCGGCCAGCAAGCCTCATTAAAGCGCTTAAGCACCGAAAATGTGGTTTGATTTTAGATATTTAAAGGGCAAATCTCATAGTAGAGACTGATGGAAACTGTACAAATGGATTTCCCAAAGAGTTTTCTCACCTTTTCCCCGTCAATCGGGGATGCAAATAGTTTCTGATTCTTTAAGACTACTTTTTGCATGCAGTTTATCAAACTCCATTCAATCGGCCGAAGCCAAAAGGCAGTCAGGAGTAGATGGAGTCTGTGAGCAGCAATTTCCAATAAAATAGAGTCGTCAAGCAATTAAACCCCTTTAATAGCAGCCCCATTTGACTCGGATGCGGATTGCTGGACGATTTAATGAGTGTATTGGCTGTAAAAGGTATTATTAGTGGAGTTGATCGATGATCCGGAGCGCAGTTCCGTCTAAAATGTGGAGGTTGCTGGTGTTCGTTCTATGGATAGCTCTGCACACGGTAATCGAATCCCCCGAATCCCCCGAATCCATGGTGGAAGTGGATATAAATAGGTAAAACTCTTCTCTTCTCTTCTTCCTAGATATGCCTCAGCCACGTGACATTCACGAACCTGAAATGCACCACATTCGACGCGAAGTACGTGGAGTTTCCCACGTGCCAGATCAAGGCAGTGAATCGATCGCACAAGTACGTGGATATAAGCACAAAGTTGCAGCGGTTGCCCATACGGTCGGCCTGGGTAAAAGTGAAGTTCATGAAGCTCGACCACGGATACAAGCCCTTCTTCATCGACCTCTCCTACGATGCGTGCAAGTTCCTGAAGGACATGCGAAGGCATCCCATTGCCTTCATGTTCTTTCGCTCGTTCATGAACAGCTCGAACCTCAATCACACCTGTCCCTATAATGTGAGTAGAGCTTTGCTCATCCTTTGTTCGGACACGCATTGCAATTGTTCATTCCGCAATAGCACGACGTCATTGTGGACAAACTCTATACCGGAGAACTGGAGACGGAGTTCAGTCGTCTAATGCCCATTCCCAACGGGGACTATGCCATCTACACCGATTGGAGCACCGAAAATACTCCGCGTGCTTCCGTTCGCATCTACATGAAAATACTGAGAAACTAGGCTACCAGAGATCATCATTTCAGTTTTGTATTTTGATTGTTTGACCATCTCCCGCACTCAGATCAAGGGCAGTTCCTACTTTAACTAGAAATAGATCCACGGATGAGTGGAGGATAAAGGGTATTTCGCATCCCATCAGTTATGTATTCCCTCATGGAAGTAAAGTGCCTTTTTCTGTCGTATTTATGCCAAAGGAATTCAAAATGTTCTTCCCGGAATTTCCATGGTTCCGCCAAACACCGAATAATTCATAAAAAAATCAGTTCAGAGCCTCAAGGACACCTCGTCCAATTTGTGTGTGTGCGTGTGTGTGTGTGTGTGTGTGTGCAGGTGGGGCAGGTCGCAGAGAGTCCATTAATAATAAATTAAACATATTCCCCGACATGCCCCATGGCATGGCATGGATCTCTCTACCTTTCTGCCTCTCTGGAGCTGCCTCGTCGCTCGTCGCTCGCTCGTTCCTTCGCCTGGTTCTTAAATGGTTTTTGCTGTTGCTCTTGTGCTGCTCCCCTAATGACCTACAAATACAAATTCCAGTCCTCCGTGTGGCACCTCTCTGCCTCTGCCTCTGCCTCTGCATCTCTGCCTGTTATGCCGATTAGTAAAATCCCCGGACTGCCGCCAAGGCTGCTGGCAAGTCATTCGGCAAACGGCAGACGGCAGACGCAGAAGCAACTGAAACGGAAGCTAATCGCTTGACTAAGTTCCTAGGGGGATTGCGTAACACATACACACATATCCATCGTGTGTCTGTATGCCTGAATATATCCGAAGATGCGCAGATACAAACACTCAACAGATGACTCTGCCGCTGGCCAAGATGGAAGCGCTTTTGTGGCTTTGACTGTTTGCCTGTCGGATTATAAATGGTTCTCCCATTAATTCCCATCCAAATGGAACAGACATTAACATTAACATTTAACAGGTAGGTAGATAGTCCGGTAGTCTGGCATTCAGACTGCCAGACAGAAGTGAATAATCAATATCATTTGATTACATTGATAACATTGATACGGGCATACGCGGGGCCTGTCTGTTCGTTTCTTTATCGGAACTTCGAGGCCGAACTTCGCATCGATATCCGCCGATGGATGGATGGATGGATGGATGGGGCATTCGTCATTCGAATGCCGAATGTCTAGACGACTGGCTCCATAAAAACGTATTATTGCCTCACGCAACAGCGCCACAGAGAGAGAGAGAGAGCAGCGTACAAAAAAAGGGGAAGAATGAACGGGCTTATAGAACGAGTGGATGCATATGGAAGATCTCATATGAATATGAATAGAATTGAATTCAGATCAAACTTAGCATTGAATTTGGATGCAAATTTCATTCAATTATTTGTTGGAGAATTATTCGCCAGAACAAAAGTCACTAAATTCTGCTGATTCTCTTTCCATTTGTTAGGGTATTCAAAATTCGTAGCTCGAGAAGTTAGCAGCCCCGAAATTCTGCTTCTTTTGGTTTTCTTTTATTTTTGGCGCAAGTTTTGTTTTTGTTTTTGTTTCGGCTGTCGATTTGAATAAGTTTTGAATGAACGACGAGACGCTGCAACGTCCGAGGGAATGGCGCGAATCGATATCCCCAGTACACCGACATTGGAAGGCAATGCAACACACACAAAGAAGATCTGAGGCACCGCCTGGCGACAGTTGCAACGTGCAGCAGGCAGCAGGCAGCAGGATGTGTCCTGTGTCCTATGTCCAGGACGAGTACGAGTACGAGTACGAGGCGTCCCCTCCGATAATAAAGACAATCCATTTTTTCTGTTTATTAAACGCCGATGAAGTGAAGCGAAAACTGATTCGTCGTTGCTGTTGCTGTTGCTGTTGCTGTCTCTTCCCCTGCCGCTGCATGGCCAAAACGATTTGCTGGACATGGCATTAAGGAGGGGCGGCAGATCCCTCCATTTCCACCTTCTGCCTTCTGCCACATGTAAGTGCAACACAGCTGCAACGTGCAACGCTGGCGGTAACTACAAAGTGCAGAGACTGAGGACAGACGACAACGTTTCGAGTATCAGCCGCGGAGGAGCGGCCACTGATAGCAATTGGAGCGGCAACACAAGCGCAAAGAATGGCACTGATGGAACATACAGATACCCTGTAATTCCATGGTCATTTAAGAGAAATCTATCGAATGTCATCTCAGAATTCTCAGAGAATTTATTCTCGAGTAAACTTGGAGCATATTCCAAAGGAAATATTCTATGGTGATGTGTTGGGGCATCCACCGGAATATAGTAGGGTATCACAGAGAGAGAGAGGAGACAGGGGGTTGCTGCTGCTGCTGTGGCTGTGGCTGTGGCGGCTTCATCAAGAGATTGCCCCAAAGAACTGACGCACGCACCGAACGAACGAATGTCGCGTCGCCTTTTGGCTTTTGAAGTTGCTGCTGCTGCTGCGGAGAGAAGTTTCGAATTGCAAGGCAAATGAGATGGAGGCACCTGAGAAGTCGCAGCCACAGCCACAGCCACAGCCACAAGACCCTGCCGCATACCCATGCCACACACCCCCCTTTCAGGTGTGTGTCTGGCTGTCTGTTAATTGCATTAAAATGTTTGTAATTGCAATGCAGTCAGCGAGTCAGTCTCTTATCCAAGAGAATCTCTAAGCGACAAAGAGAGAGAGAGAGAGAGAATCGGTGGCAAAGGGGCAGAAGGCAACAAGGCTGCGAGTGAGACATGCCACAAGCTGTCGTCGGGGCCAAAAATGCCATAGAAATGCCGCCAAAGTCGTGTAACTATAATTGCCATAATAACATAATATCTGTGGGGCACCACCGCCACTGGCACAGGCACTGCCACTGCCACTGCCACTTGCAACAGCGGCAGCTGCAGCTGCAACAACACAAAGCCCTGCTGGCAAAAAGGTGTCGAGAGACATATTCTCCTAGTCCTTCGCTGCTCCACTCCACTCCTACTCCGAAAATGGCGACAAAATGCTGACTGAGAGACGAAGACGGACAGACGATTGTCTCTTGTCGCTGGATGGATCTCTGGACCCTGTCACTGGCTCTGGTTCTGGTTCCGACTCCACTGTGGACTCTCTATGTGGAGGTGACATTTTTCTCATGCCCAACGAAGCGAACAACGAAATGCAGTTGATGGAGCGCCGTTGCACGTTCGTCTGTCCGCTTGCCAGTGGCGAGTTAAGTGGAAGGGGGAATGCCACTCAAAGCAACGGATTGAAGGACAGTGGTTCGTGGGAGATTCATCGGGATTGGGCACAAATATGGGCCCTTGCTTCCTACCATAAGGTGTGTCAAATATCTCTTTCTTTTTGTTTAATCAATTACAATGGAACTTGGTACATGGATGGGCGATTTGTCTGGCATAGCATTAGGATCTAGAGTCAATGAGATATGCGCTAGTACCAACACTGTTCTTAAAAGATTTTCATCATTATCTATCAAATATGTAAACATCATTATTATACATATCTTTCGGTCTACACTTGGCTTGTGCCATTAGTATAACTGTAAAATTGGAATCACTGTGCATGGCAGAGCTGCGAAGAGCAGAGCAAAGAGAGAGAGAGAAAGATTTTGCTGGTGATTTCATGGGTTGACTTTTCCGCATGTTTGCGCCTGACTATGTCGCTCCATCTCTCTCTCTCCCGTACTATATGTTCTCTCCCTTTCCCTCTCTTTCTCCTACTCACTGTGTGGAACTGTCTTTTCGGTTGTGTGCGGCATTTAGTTTTGTGTCATGCCCGGCCCCCCCCCCCCCCTGCTCTCGCTCACGCTCACGTTTACGTTTCACATTCACAATCTGTGACTGCAGTTGTCTTCGTCTCGTCTCGTCTCGTGTCTCTTTCTTTACCTCGCCCCGCCACTCCGTCTGCCTTGTTTGTCAAACAGCAACAGCGGCAGCGCAGCAACAGCAGAAAAACAGTTAAATGCCATTTTAGCAGTTAAAATCGG